TAAATTCACTTTCAACGCAACATTTGATGGTCACATGTTTTCTAGAGCTTTCACTCACAGTAAATAACTATCAGATTGACTTAGAATTGAGTAGTGAAAGGTTTACAGACAGAAGTGTGAATGGACATAGTGAAAGCTAAATGGAGATCATATTGTCCCACCATAAGTATTTTAAGTTAGAGGGACAAAAGCTTCAGTGTGAATCTATCCATGAAATGGAAGTGTTTAAAGAAATTTTAAGGTTTTTTTTTTTTTTTTTTTCAGTTTGAAAGTACTGGTTTGTTATAATTCAGACATACTATACAGAGCTCAGGGATGTTGATGAGAATGATGATGCTTTCCAAAGTTTACTGATGCCATTTCCTGTTGCCCCTGAAGCTCACCTCCCCTTCCCAAAGAAAGACTAAGATGTCAAAAAATAAAATTAAAACAAACAAAAAACAGTAGAAGCTCTTCATCCCCCAAACCTCATTGCTGAGGGTTTCAGAGTGTAAACATGTTATGGGTGACACAGGGTTAGGCTGCCTGCTAAGGAGAAAGAAGTTAGGGAAAGAAATGTTCATAAGCAGATAATGTAAGAGGTTCAAAGAGCAAAGATACTACTTCTTGTTCCTGGGAAGAACCCGTGCTGATAGCAACACTGGATGCTTTTCTGAGTCATGGCAAGGCTAGCGAGTGACTTACATAGCTTGGGATGGATCCTCCTGTATCACACCTGTCTGTCCAGTTCATTTTACTCCCACAGGGCCTCAGGACAAGACAGAAATAATTAGAAAGCATTGCTGTTCCTATACTAGCCAGCTTCCCTTCACTGAAACAAATACCGAAGCTAGTCAACTTGCAAGGAAGAAGGAATTGTTCTGACTCACAGTTTGACTGTAATTCATGGTCAGTTGTTCCTATGGCTTCGGGGTCAGTTTTAATGAAACACATGGTAGGACCATTGAGCAGAACAAAACTGTTTGCTTTATACTAGGGACATATAAGAGAGGAAGAGGAAGGAGCTGGAGCCTGACAGTACTCGCTGTGAGCTTGCCTACAATGACCTAATGATCTCACCTCATAATGTTGCCACTACCTGTCCATAGCACCACCCTGGGGACTTTGGTGGACAAGTCATGATGCAAATCATGATATCTCCTAATTGGTGCATGGAAGGAACATGAGGAATGGTGTAATGGCATTCATGTCCTGAGGACAAGACAGGTGATGAACTTTTCCAACAGTCATCAAGCTGCAAAACAAATGAAGAGATTCCTCCATACACATGCCTCGAAATTCCTCAGCAATTCATGAGCTCACTTTTAGATACACAATTGAGAAAATGGAGGGGAGTATGAATTGTCCTCAGCAAAGTTTCTGACACCTAAAGGAACGGAACAGGAGTTTGTAAGAGAGAATAAGCTCAACTAGAGGAAAGGGTTGTTCTGATCCATGAGGGACTTTAACCACATCTATAATGTTTTCCACTTAAATTCTAAAGCAAATAAGCAAGACAAAATAATAATACCCTCAAGCTTGATGGGGCCTATTCATATTATTTGCTCATTTTGGACGGTTGGATTATTTTACAGTCAAAATTGTATGGTGGAGTACATAAGAATGGCCCCATAGGTTCACAGATTTGAATGCTGGGTCATTAGGGAGTGGCACTACTTGACAGAGATTAGGAGGTGTGGCCTTCTTGGCAGAAGTTTGTCACTGGGGGGTGGACCTTGGGATTTCAAATGCTCCATCCAGGTCCAGTGTCCCTCTCTTCCTGCTGCCTGCAGAGGCAGAGGTAGAACTCTCAGCTACTTCTCCAGCACCACGACAGCCGCCGTGCCGCCGTGCCGCCGTGCTTCCCACAATGACTGTGAGTAAGCACCAATTAAGTGTGTTCTTTGAGAAGAGTTTCCCTCCTCATGGTGTCTCATCACAGCAATAGAACCCTGACTAAGATACATTGTGAAATAAAATGTGTCTGCTCCATTATTGAATCTGTGGGCTGGACCCCCAAGGGTAAGTAGCATCCATCACGATTTAGGTAGCTACACCAATACTTGAACTGTGTCAACTTATGGAATGTTCACGGCAACCCTGATGGATAAGCATCAACTTGTTGTCAACTTTTTAAAAATAAGCTAATTAGAAAACAAGATTAGAATAACACTCTACACATCTTGATCAGAAAAACAGAGAAATGGTTTGCTTGGGTTTTTAAAAATAAATTAAATAAAAAAACCTTTAACATACTGAAAGAAAAACTGGACATGACATGTATATAAGTTCCAGTATTTGACAGATAAAGGCAGGAAGATCAGAAGGTCAAGGCCAGCCTTCTCTAATTTATAGAATGTTTGACATTGGATGATGATGATGATGATATAATGGTTAAACCAAAGGAAGTCCCAGGTAGGCTTCAATTCTGGTTTGTTACAGTTCAAGGATACTAGATAAAGATAGGAAAGGAATTAGCAATGTGATATTCATTTGGAATATTACTTTCCTAGTGAAAATTATAAAATACAGGAAGAAGGCCTCCAGGGATCTGGTAGATATGGTCAGTGGAGGAAAGTGTACAATGGTAACGATGATAAACTACCCAGGCACACACAGCAACTGCTAAAATGTTGGCATGTTTATATATGTACATGTATTAGTAAATCCCCTGACATGTACCCTTTTTCCTGAGGGCCACCTGCTAATTGCCAGCGCCAGATTTTGCTTCTTAACATACAGGTGTTACTGTATATGGTGAAACCTTAGGCTCCTAATCACAAGATAGAAATAAAATAAAACTAGAGGAGATGAGGAAAAAGAGTCAGGGTCATGAGAATGGGAAAGCATGGTAGGAAAATGGGGTTGTAGGAAGGGAGGAAAGAACACGAAAAACATCTAACTTATTAGCCGTGATTTAGATCCTGTGCCCTGGAACTTAACAGCTACAGTTATTCGTCAAGTTAGAAATGGTTAATTATCCAACAAAATTTCCTCAGGAGTTTTGCTGTGTGTAAATTTCAGCTTCTGTGTCTCTAAGGTAGTGGGATTAGATTATCAATATCGTACTTAATTCAGGATCTCTACAAGCACAATCTGGCCTTTCATGTTTCATCTGACATGAAAATGAAGTAAATAAATAAACTGCAATGATTTAGAGAAGTGATTTAGAGAAAGCTCACTTCCCTCCAAGCGTACAGAAATCTGTGTGACTATCAAAGGAAAGAATGGCTTACATCGTCTGGTTCCCTCACCTAAGTGGCAGCTTCCTGCATTTTCTCATGGGCTTGTTCATCTGCACATCAGCTAGAACAACAGCGGAAGAGCTGCTTGTCTGTGGTGCCAGATTCTTGTTGGGGCACGTTACTTAAACAGTTTGCTGTGGGTTTTCCGTTCATTAGGAATTCATCTTGGCATTGAGAAAGCTTCGCTGATCATTACGATTCCAAGCGCCACCACTGTTGATTTGACTTGGAAATATGGGATTCCCCACACCAGCACCTCCATCACCCAGCAGGTGGCTTTCCCCCTGCTGAGGACTGGGTAGGCACTCCTGGAAGGACCTTTCTGGATCTCCTCCCCACCTGGAATGCAAGACAAGCTCTCCCCATTCCCGGTGACTTCTTCAGTCAGAAATAGTCATGGGCACCTGAAAACTACGTGACTGTAGGTAAGAAGGAGTTTCTGCATTTCCCCTAGAACTGAAGCCTAATTGCCTTGCAGCACACGTCTATGAAAGAAAATGTGTACAGTAGACAAATGGTACCCTAAGACATCCTCAGGGGCAGCTGAGGCAGGATGTGTGGAACCAGAAGGCATCCTTTTCTGGCGTTTGTTGGCACGAAAGTTGATCAAAGACTTTGGAAAAGTAATTTACCAGTAATGAAATTGTCACTGGTCTCTTCTTGTCTTCTTTCCAGCTAGTTGGTCAGTTCTTTCAGTGTTCCACTCTCTATCTTCAGGGAGGATGAGAGTAAATTTCTTAGCTTCTGCCTCTAGTTAGCTACTCCAATCTTTACTAAAAAGCAACTATGGTTAATCTTACTTTTCTTTACAATAAAATAAAAGGAGGTTGGCCCTTTGATTTTGAAACTGACATTTTTAATTGTTAACCTAAAAAAAAAAAAAAAAAAAAAGGCTAAGCCAGCACATCTTTCTGGCTTTCTTCTAGGGCTGAGGACAATGACATAGTTCAGTGGTAGAGTTGTTTAATATATTTTTTTTTCTCCAGGTAGAATGCACAAAGCCCTGGGTTTGATCTCAAGCCAGGAAGAAACTCTTCTCTGGTAACAAACTTGCACTTCTAAGTAAAATTTTCTACAGTTGAAAATATGCTTATGGCATAACCTGTTGGTAGGAATTTCGTTTTCTTTTTTGCAGAGGCGCCCACACAGATTCCTTCCTTGTGTTTACATGTAAAGCTCTCCTTCAGGTTCCCAGCCATCTTGCATGTTCCTCTGTGAAACAGGGGAACAGATCAGTCCTCGGAGGTATAATGGAACATGGGCGAAGCAGGAAGAGGCTTAGGACAGGGCAGAGCTTTACCCGTACTGGGCAGAGATGCGCCCCCCCC